ATCCCTCCAGCACGATAGATATTCTATATTCACTCTGTACTTGAACTTATTCTATATTCACTCTGTACTTGAACTTGTTAAACTTACTTCTGCTTTGTAGCTCAACAGCAAGCTGTCTTTCAAGGTTTTCTCTAATTTCTCTCTCTCTATAAAGCTCCATTCGCAGTTCCTTCTTTTCTTGTTGAATCTGTTTCTCCTGGATGCGAGCATTATCCAAAGCCACTTTCAGTAGACCCTGTCAAAGTACAATAAATGGCATGCAGTTCATCTTATGTGTTTTAATTTCTCAAATATGAAATAATTTATGTAGGTGCTAATGTCTTGTATTACATTTATTTTGTTTATAGAAATATTGTTGACCTGAATGTTGGTCAACAGAGTCTCCACGGAGGACAAACTATCAGCAAAAATGAATGGTCCGGGGAATCCAGGGGGCAATGCCTGCCCAGGAGTCAGTTGGATCTTGTCCAAAGGTGACTTCATCATTGGGATTTGAACTGGTACCTCTTCTGCAAAAACAAAATTAATGTCAGAAGGTTTACAAGTGAACAGCTCAAAAACTAGTAAGTAACCTCTAAAGGACACTATTAAGATTTTGTTTCTAAAGCTAAATGATGGTCACTCCTAATTAGAAATCATACATATTCCCCTGCCTCTGATTTCTCAAAATACATGTCTTTGTAAAGAACCCATGAATCTGAAATATTTACAGCTAAAGAAGCATAGAATATGAAGAAACAAATTTAAGATATATATAATTAACATAGATGCTTATTATAAATATCTATAAATTAAATAATCAGATCCCTTCCTGAAAAATATCAGTTGCCTTTTATTTCTCTTCAAATCTATCCTTTTGTCTTTCATCATTATTTTTAAAAGTTTTATTGATATATAATTTCCGTATAATAAAATTTGCCTATTTTAAATCTTAATTTTTAGTCAATTTACAGTTATCTAGCCATCACCACATATTCTCAAGAACCCCCAAAATACTCTTCCTACTTATTTAAAAGCAGTCTCCTTTCCCAACCCAAGCCTGGCAACCACTAAACTACTTCCTGTATGTAGAAGTATTTTATTTTAGATATTTTATTTAAATAAAATTATGTAATATGTGGCTTTTCTGTCTGGCTTCTTTTGCTTAGCATGTTTTTGTAGTTTATCCATGTTGTGGCATTTACCAGTAGTTTCTTCTTTTTTATTTTTATAAAATTCTATTGTGTGAATACACTATTTAAACACTATCTAGTTGATTATCATTTGAGTTGCTTTCAGAGCTACTTTTTATTTTAAGGTGTATTCCTTAGGAGAAAAGTATCATTTATGACTTAAAAAAACAAGTTGTCTATTCTTTCTTTAATTTTTTATTATCTTCTCTCACATTTGCATTGCTTTAGTGGATTTTCTTCCAATTTCAAAAAAGAAACACCAATAGGATAGACAAAGTCTTAAGAGATTTCAGATTTGTTTGGGATAGATACATCTAATTACAAAAGTAATCTTGAGAAATATAACTACTTGTCACTCAACTTGAATTCTGGCTGACCATTTTTAATGTGAAAGGTATGAACTAGATAGCAAAGTTTACTCAGCTAACTAGGAATGAAGGAATTTTTTTTTAATGTATGCAAAAAAATAAATAAATAAAAAGCAACTGCTGCAGAGAAAAAATCTTGGAATGTTTCCAAACAAATTTATTTACTTTTAATTGTGGTTCAACAGCAGTATTTGATGGGATGAACCATAGAATCTCATATAGTTACCCCACTCACTGCAGGCTCTTAAATTCAGTAATAGGGCTCAGAAAAGTTTGAAAAACATACATCACTCTAGTCAGAAAAATTTTTGGTGACTTCATACACTCCTTTTTCTGTTTTTGTTTTTGCTAGAAGACATATGCGCTCACCAAAGAAAGAGACAGGGAGAGAGAGAAAAGAGAAAGAACCTCTTTGGGAATGTTCATGTCACAATCCCTTTCTCTACTATCTCTCCCTTTCCTTGTGATTTTGCACACATGTGCGCACGCGCACACACAAACACACACACACACACACACAAGCTTAGTATGTTTCTCAAGATGCTGAATCCGAGACTTGAGCCATGCTATAAGTTATGTTAGATCCAGCTGCTTTAACCACCAGGCCATGGAGCCAGCCTGAATTCATACATTCTAATGAAACTCATTCAAGAAAAAAGACTAGATTTGTATCCAGATCTAACCATTTTCACATCATTTGAAAACAAAACATAATAAAATCTAGTTATTGATTCTAGTTCCTGTAGGGATATGAAAATAAATTTGTTAAACAGTTAGACATTGTTTTTTAATTGCAAACAGAATACATATGTAGTGTGCAGAGTCTTGAACCCCATTGATTTCAAAGTCATCATGGTTTGCTGTGGGAGTTCTTGTGTGGGAAGTCATGGCATACAATTGCGGGAATCTTCGGTGAGATTACTTAATGGGATAGCATTATCTCTGAATAAAATGCTCTTATATAGATCATCTTTACATTTTCTGTTTTTGCAAAACCAATAGGGTAAAAAAAAATGCTAAGTGATTATTTTAGAGAATCGAAAGTTTCACATTGTTTGAAGTAAAATACTTTAGAAAATTTATCAGTCTTAAAAATTCAATAAAATGCATACAATACAACATTACATTTCTTTAGCACATGAAGTTATAATGAATATCTTCCCAGGAATTGCTTTTTAGTAAAACATAAAAAAACCAGTAATTTTGATCTTACAGGAATGTTGCATATATTTTCTATCATGCCCTTGCAGTTTGACTTTCATAATAATTAGCTATATTAATTTGAGAATTTAAAATTAACCATAGCCTCTTATAAAACATTTCTCTTTTTTTTTTAAGTTACTATTTGGTTTGGAAGAGGTGACATATTCCGGAGAAAATCAACACATTATCACAAATTCTGTGACCTCATTCAACTAATGGTTTAATTTGAAATATTATCTCATAAGAAAACTAAATTCCAAAGCATGTGTTAGCCAGCTACTCTGTTTTTAAAGTACATTTTTTGCCAACTAAACAAGCAATATTATTCTTTATTTGTATTGCTTATTGTCTTTATTTAAGTCATATTTTGCCTTATCTACATGAGTGCACTCATGTAGATCTATCAATACCGACAGATTCTACACCATTATAATGATGTTTATTAACCTTATAGTAAGAATTTATACAGCCTGGAAGATCTATTTTTTACAAAAAAAAAATGGCTACAAAGTTAGAACGTTAACTTTTTGTTGATTCAGAGACAATACTGTATAATATTTCCCCTGAATAAATATTTTGTATCCGGGCTAGAAGTCCTAAAATTAATAGATTCCTTTTTTATGTGTTATTCTACACACACATAATCTCTGTGGTGTGAATATGAGGGTGACAGAACACACAAGATATCTGAAAAGAAAAACAATGTGTTCAGTATACATAAAGCAAAATTATAACTACATTAAAATCACCAGAAGTCTTCTATTTAAAGATGAAAAAAATACCATTAAATTAGTTGAAAGGAAAATTACTATTGACTATGAAGACAGGTTGCATGGTCTATGGTATGTAATGTTGCTGTACAGTAGATTGAAGTTTCAAAATAGTATTACTCTTCTTTAAAGAGATAGACACAGCTGAATTAGGTGTTGCTTGCTGCAGTGAGGATCAAATGCAAAAAGAATCATATTTCATCAGACCTAGTCAACACCAGGAAAATAAATAGAAATATAAGAGGTATGCAGGCAATGATTCATTTTGATAATCTGGCCCAAGAGAGACACATAGAGACAGCACACAGATCTAAGCTTCTGCCAAAAGACAAATAGGACACAGAGGGTGGGAACTGAGATGACAGTGTAGCAGAGGTCACATCGATTTTCAGCAGTAGTTTTCACACAGATGAGATAACCCCGGACTCTATTTGGCCCATTGTTCATATCCTACCTGTCCCACAAGCAATAAATTTCCTAGTCCTAGAAAAAGGGCAGTAAAGAAGAAGGATTCTACTTATGACTTCTTATGATTAAGTTTCTGTGCTAACCAAACATGCTTTTCAGACCAAGGTCACATTGCATGTTAAGGTCCGAAATAGCCAAAAACTAGTAAAAGTGTATTATGTGTTAGAGTGTACGAGAGGAAACTGTCAAACCATTCATCAGGTTTTTTTTTTTTCTGATTTAAATTACAGGTCACAAAAATAAATGATAAATACATTAGAATTTGATTTCAATCTTTTAATAGGTCTTCACATCTAAATGAAATCTACAGTTTTCTCAGAGTTTGAATAAATGCACTGTTATGTAGAAATTTATTAGCAGGCTTGAGAAATCCTAATTTGCAATGAAATTACAAATTGGTATAATGAGAAACATAGATTGTCTGTTAAATAAGAGCATCTCTTTGTAAGCCCAGGAGAAAGGGTTTGATTGAATATTTTGATTTAAAAGGCTGATGTTCAAAATGCATATACTGCATTAAAACCTATATTGGCACATATAATGCAAATGTATAAACTAAAAAGTAAAGATAACACACCTCCTATTTAGTCAAGGACATGAGCAACCTCTTCATTTATTGAAGCTAAGTGGAGACTTTTTACTGAGCCAGTTAAGCCTGCCATACCTTATAATAGCACTTGGGAATCCACTTAGACAACAAGCTCTTTATTTTAATTTCTTCCTTAGGGACCAGATGAATTGATGCAAAAGTTAAAAAGAACTTTATTAGTATAAAAAAGCGTAAACATATGAAAATTAAATTCAAGGCTGCTGGTGACTTTCTGTATGACTCTAATGCTTATTCTCCCACTTTTTCATGGAGTTAAATGTTTCCTTTTCCTCTGGGCTTTGAGGATTGTGATACAGGAATAGAAACTGAACACAGCTGACTTACTCAGCAGCAAAAAAAAAAAAAAAAAAGCTTACCACGCCATCAGTTTCATTTTTAATCAAGTAAATTATATTTCATTATTTGATTTGAGAGCTTTTCCCTAAATACAGCTGGCCCAGGGGACACTCCTTTGTCGATGTCATTAGTATTACATTCAACACAAGCAAGACACCTGCTTCCCTCTTCCAAACTGAGGAACAATAGCAACCACAAAATGACCAACTGCTGTGTAATGATGTGACCTGCATGAATATAAGGAAGTGTTCATGGTCTCAGCTGAACAATGACTCCTCAAGTGTTGCCATCATCAGGTATGGAAAAGAAAAACTTGATCCCCAAATTGTTACATTTCTTTAGGGAGATAAGATAAAAATAATTCAGATAAATGGACACAGAAAGTCACCAGAGAAGTTGAGATAGAATACTGCTAAAACCAATTATGCCCCTGTTTCACTCTTGATCTTCAGATTAGTAATTTGTTATAATAAGCTCTTTGTAAATTATGAATAATAGTCCAGTCATCGTTCAGATTAAATCCGATGCCAATGATAAATATATTCAGTGAAAGGCTTAGAAGAAGTGTGAAATTCAGTCCTT